CTGTTGTTGTTGCTGTTATGAGGCCATATGCTATAAATATGTGCTTTTGTTTAGAACTAGTCAATACAACAAAGACCAGARTAGGAGGTCCAAGTTTTGTTGAAATCTGATTTTGTACACCTCAAAGCAAAAAGGTTGAAGTCACAAAGTGTGACTGAAATGAGAGGGGACGCCTCTGGAGAAACAGCGTAGAGTTTCTCCTTAAAATAGCTCTTGTTTTGTGTGAATAACTGTGACCGTTCTGCAGATTTTTACCCACAGACCACCCGATGAGCTCCTCTCACTCCTACACAGCTAGTTTGCATCATCATTGCTGGTACATTGCGTTGATATCTGTTCARATTTTCCCTCACTTTTTTCTTTCCCTTATTGCATCACAATTCTCAAGACTCCTGTTTTCAGAATCGATGCAACTCACCAAACACTTGGAGTAAGTCAGGGGTTCACAACATRTGGCTCTGGGGCCCCGTGTTGGTCTTTGATTCCTCTGCAATGACTCTGTRGTTTTGAAACAATAATATATATGTAAATAAATAACATTCTTATTTTCTAACTATTCTAGTTTTAGCAAYTCTCCTGTGTTAAATGCAAAAACGCTAATTAAATATTTGACAGAAAAACACAATAAAATAAATAAAATAAACTTAGTTAGCCTGTTAGCATCTACCTTAATCAATGGGATCTGCCGTTGAAGCCTGATGGAAACCTAATCCCATTTGGACACATTTGAGACAAATTGCTGAGAGGACAAATACAAAAAGTGCACGTGTGCACATGTACATGTAGCACACACCTTACAAGATAAGTTCTTATGAGAACGTCAAGATGTCAAAATAAGTGTTTCCTTCAACAAATACTTCAAGGTTGAAATTAATGAACGTCTTTGCCTTTAGGAGAGAAAATTAGGATTAACAAAAACTTTCCAAACCTTTTATGCTGTCAAATAATTTATTAGTATGTAACTTTAAGGATACTGTAGAATATCCTGATTTTTAGAAAAGACTCACAAAGATCATTTTATAAGTTTGGTCAAAGGAGGTATACTTAAATGACAAATACATTTCAGTTTATAACTTCATTTTAACAACAGTTTTTATGTGTTTAGATGGGTTTTTTTAGCTTCTCTGCCGACAAAACTTTACTTAGAAAAAGAAATTAGTCTCTTTTGACTGTAAATGATCTTTTACATTGATATTCCACCCTGAAGTTGCAATGACAATAAATTTTTGATATATTGTGCAGCCCTGTGCTAAAAACAATATTAGAAAAAGACGTGCAAGGAGGCTTTCAGAACAATAAATGGATTCCTCTTGATGACAACATGACAGGCCTCTGCACGCGCTCATAAACATCTGTGAAACCCCGGCATGGTTTGTGTCTGCTTAAAATGTTCAAGTGGCTTTCAGGAGGCTTCCATCATTCGGCTTAAACAAGGTGAAAAGGTTGTTAAACGTTGACTCATTTTTACAACCTGCTGTCAGACACACGGGATCGACCCCACGGTGTTAAAAAGTCCCAAACCAGGTTCAGATTTCTTATTTTACATTTTAGTTTTTACAGCCTGAACTGATGTTTACGATCGTCTCATCGTTTCACAAAGACCCGTCATATGACTGACAATCTCTGATGTTAAATCTACACCTCGAGCTTGAAAACAGTAAGAATAAAGTTAGCTTTAGCTTTCAGCGAGTATCATGTTGGAGGAGTTTTTCAGAGCTCAAAGTGCAGACAGGTCCTGAGGTAAATTTAAACCCATTAATAAGAAACAGGCTGACGGGGCAGCAGAAATGAACTCACAGATACTGAAACACAGGGAATCAAACATGAACGACGCTGAGAGACACTGACAGAGGAGCAGCCTGACAGATAAAGAGTAACAGACAAGCAACACGGGGAAAACACAACAAGGAACAGGTGAGACTATAGGAGGGACRGAAGCTGAACAGCATTAGGGGAGAAAAAGAAACACCAACAAAATATCAAGATCTTATAAAACTAAATTAATCAGGGGTACACAAACATTTTCCACGAGAACGCCAAAATTAAAATCAATCTGAGGCCCGCAGGCCAAGTGCAATAATATAATACATGAAATGCAAATACTTATTAAGTAAAGTTGTTTTATTTTTTATGATTAAGCTAGCAGCCAGTGTGGTTGCCCACATTCTTTTGTTTGTTTTTTGTTCTTCAGCCCATGGACATAGAGAAAATTCACTCAGAGAGCAAAAGCTCATGGGACTTTTCATAAATGAAAATTTGAGTATATGTGGTCTTATAAGGTGTGCAAATTTATATATGGGCTTAAATCGGATCTAAATGTCTCTTGTAGTTACTTGTATTTTATATTTAATCTTAACATTATTCAAAGATAAAGTGAGTACCATGAGTTACTGACTACAGCTCCTTGTACCTATAGTTGGACCAATGGTTGAAAAGACAAAGTGGACATTTAGTATTTCTACATAAGATAGGACGTTACAATCTAGTAACCAGGACAACTGCTGGTGAGCCAAATCAAAAAGCGTGGTCGGCCAATTTTGGCCCACGGGCCCCACTTTGGGCACCTCTGAAATAAATAATGAAACAAAACACAGATCCTCACGAGTTAAAGAAACACGTTGGTTTTGCAGGATGAAGAAGGGGCTTCTAGCTGCTAAGGTTTATAGATATTGATATGTGTGTGAATAATACTTTGATAATAAAGTGTCAATATTCAATTTAAAAAGTAAGGAAAATTGTTTGGTAAATTATTTCTTTGTTGTAGCACTTCTTCACAATAAAGCTTAAACCTTTAAAAAGCCTGTTAATTTCCTTATTAAACACAAATTTATTTCCTTTTGTGCTAAGTTTAAATTCAAAAACACACTGAATAGTTGAGTTTACTCATAACTCCAAATGTTATTTTACTAATCCAGATAATGTATATTTTGACTGTAAAAATTGTTTTGAAGCAACTGAATTGTTATTAATGTTTAGAAATCATTTTAAGACACATTTAGTAACATTAATATCTACAAGTTTATACAGTAAAAATGTCTTAGGGAAAAAAGTGTACGTAATTTAGAATATATTTATATTTTGTTTTACGAGCACATTTTTTAGCCTTTTAGTAGTTGGCAGTTATAGGATGTCATGTTTGTGAACAATGCATAGCTTATTAAATGAATACGGCTACAGAGTCTCAGATATTTAAACTAAGATCATCTCATTCAGAAACAAGAGTTGTAGCTATTTTTGTCAAACCATGAAATAAACATTTTGTGCAATCTTTTCTCAATTTCTTAGAATGTCCCACTAAGAGGACGTGTTGGAAAAAACAAACATTTGTAGCTACCATTTCAAACTTTAACTTAATAACTCCAAAACTGACTGAGTAGTAACCATTTTTGTTTTCTRATGCTGATTAGCTGTGGCGGCCATCTTAATTTGGGTTGGCTCCAAACGTTAACCAGTTGTAGACTTCATTCAGTGATTATTTTATYAGTTTCATTAAAATTCACTCAGTGATTCATAAGATATATTGTGAACAGGCAGACATCAAAAACTTCACCCACTTTTTGGTGGCAGGGATTCAACTAAAGGACAAGTTTTGCTGAGGTCAACAGAATAATGTGGTGCAAACAGGCCTAATGCCACATGGAAAAACATTATTTCTTTAGTAGCCCTAAAATGAAGCCAAAAGGCCTGTTCTATGGCACAGTGCTGTGGAGACCATATGGCAGACCATTATAGTCAAGTTCTCCATTGGCAGGAGTTGGCTAGAAAGATTCACTTAACTATTGGTCAGGATCTATATGGTTTTTACTCAATACGTGGGAGTTATATCTATAACGCAGGGGTGGGCAATCCTGGTCCTGGAGGTCCGCAGCCCTGCATGTTTTACTTGCTTCTCTGCTCCAACACACCTGATTTGAATGAATGGATGATTATCAGGCTTCTTGCAGTRTGGAGGACCGAAACTGACATAATTAGAAATAAAGGCAGAATTATATAAATGAACCACTAAATCAATACATTTGAAATGCACCAATTAAAATAACAAAGGAGAACTTTATCTCATGTTTTTTGTTTGAAATGACTTTAATATTTATTTTTCCAGCTTAGTATAAATTAGTCTATATATTTTAACACATAATTTAAATTTGAATGTTTTTTAAATTACATATTTTTTTGTTTTTCCTTTTACTTCTACATGCATT